GCCTTTGAGTACAATTCTTTTGTCTTCAACATCAGTTCTGTTCACACTTTCCTGCAGATGCATGCACTGAATTATTACAAACGTAATGACTTCCCCATTGTTTACGACAGAACAGAAATCAGTCACCTCATCTCTTCTCTGACCAAAGACACAGATTACATGTAATCAGTTTCTGCTTAATCTCTACATCGTCACACTAGTGGTAACTTCTTTGTGTCTGTTTTTCTTTTTGTCTTTTTTTTTACTTTGAGAAATCCTCAGAAATTGTGTAATTTAATTGCACAAAGATAACCCCATGCAAACGCTCTGGGACAAAGTGTTTTCTAATGAACCTAATGTAAAACCACAAACTGTAGCAAAACTCAGAGTCAGTGAAGCCAGACTATCTCAGAGGAGCCAATTACGCAGAACAGATAAGAAAACAAACATTTATCCACTCACTTTTCTCATTTCTGATTATTACCCTTTTCTGCATTTTAAGAAAAAAAAAAACCCTGCGATCAAGCAGGTCCATCAGTGATTATTGATGGAGTAATGAAGCGACCGCAGTTTTTACCGAACATCTTCAATGCACAATGGACAGGTCTGCCATTGTCCTCCACCCATCACTAACTAATTTCTGACATATATTTTACACAACATCTAAAAGTGGTTTAACACGAGATCATGAAAATATACTTGTGGATCTGTGGTTGTGGTATCCCATTCGCCACAGTGTTCTTATTTCAGTGGGTTGAGGATAACTACCACTGCAGCGTGCTGCTGCAGCTCAAAAGGTGAACGCATGATTCACAAATAATCCCGTTTTGAAAACTCAAACTCGAAGATGTTGCTCATAACGACGAGCTTAAATCACCTGTGAGCTGAGAATCCGAGGCGCTCTGCAGCTCGATCAAAGTTTCCTCCTTCGCCTTTCCCGTTAGTCGCCTCATAGCGGCCAACCGTGTGATTGTAGAGGCGTCTGCACCTCTTCAGGAGCGCAGGGAAGGCGGTGAGGACGCCGCCGCCGCCGTCTCCCCTCGCGTCGATGGAGAACCCGCCGCGCAAGGAGCAGGCATCGGTCAGACGCTGGACGGCTCGAGCAGATCGATGGGAGATCGGTGAGTTATAATCACGTAATGACTCGACTGTCACTGAAACTGTACCCTGCTGAGCTCACGTGCGCGCGCACAGAGCAGGCGCGCATAAAGGGGAGTGGCGGTGCCCTCTTTTTCCGTCGGCAAATATTTTTTTGCTTACAATTATTGTTACGATTCTTCCTATTTTAAACTGTTCATTTGTGTGTCAGAAGGTATGCCAGCTTTCTCTATAATAATAATATTATTATTATTGTTATTATTTTAAAAGAGGTTTGTTTGCTTTTATATTGATTTGTTTTTTCTGAAATTACCGAGGCGCTCACCTGGACGCTTTAATCATGAGAAGTTTCCATCACAATTCCGCCATCTAGGGGCCATTTCTATCTAAATCAAGCTGAGGTGTTGTTTTCTGTAGGTACCCTAAAAAACATTCGGAAAAGGAAATCGTGGGACATGAATTTGTACTTCAAAGACAAAAAGGACACTTGACATCAGTTTAACTGAGGGGTCTTCATGAGATGATGCAAACATGCATCAAATCTAAGTTATTCCAAGCAGCTTCTGTCAAATTCAGATACAAATCCAAGTTCAATACTGCTCCACCCTGCTCCACTACATTTAATAAATGCAGTAGACCATATAGGTAAATAGTCATCTGAGGGAAACAATAAACATTCTTTTTCATTCGGCCACAATACAGTGTTACAGTGGCTCAGTAGGACAAGAAATAAATGTGGACGAAGCACTGGACCAGGCGTACCCCAGCCCAGTCCTTGAAAATATCTGCCCCATCACACCAGAATCAGCCGGCTGAAGACCCTCATCAGCAGATCCCTCCACAGGTCCCTGATGACACTCAGTTCATCTGATTCAGGAGCGTTGAAGACAGAATACATCTAGAAGGATGGCAGCTCTCAATGTCTCGACTGAAAAAAATTGCATCTCATTATTATTTGACTAAAGTGTGTTGAAGCAGAGACAAACCAGCAGGAAAACGACCTGGATTTGAGGATTCCTGCTCTAGATGTGAAATTACGAAAAATAATTACGTTTGTCATTCAGTCTTTGAAATTGTTGTCTCCTTTAACAATCATTCTTCCAGAAAAACAAATCATCTACATTCTCACCACATTCTGATATTTTTTTTAATACAGTTGGAAGTATTTTTTTTTTTTGCATGAAACTTTTTGTCTTAATAGGTGCACTCTACATAGAAATTGAAAATTTATTCATTTTACACATTTGCACAACCCCCTGCGTCTACTTTTTACATTGATACTTTTCGGGTTAATTTGACTCTGCAGTCAAGTTTAAGTGCAAAAAAATATTTTAAAAAATGCCCAATTCTATATGTTTCCTTGCAGTTATGAACCATATTTCACCACACACACACAAACACACCACACCCATACATGCGTATGTGGACGCACACGAACCCATCTCTCACTATTTTCTTTCCTTCACTTGGAAACTGTAAGAAAGCAGGTGTTCATGCAACTTTTGACGGGAATCTTTTCTGTTCACGTGGATAAACTCCACCCACACTGAGTGACACTCTGCAAAAGTGGAGGAAAACATAAACACTCTCTCTGTGACTCATTTATCTTGATTTTAATCAGCAGGTCAATTTGACCCTGAACAGCATATGTGTCTCAAGTTCAATTATAAAGATCACCCATTGGAGAGAGAAAAAAAAAAGAAGTAAAATAAGAAAATTCCTTAAAGATCAATTTCAAGGAAATTATTGTTTTTTGTGTGTCTGGGTTTTTTCCAGTGGACAAAAAAACATTAAATTCCATTTTTCATGTCCAAATGAGTAAATTGTCATCATTGTTCCTTAATTTCATAGAAAAAAAAAACAAAAAAAACATCATTGCACAAATATTGATTGCAATGGGGTTAATAATCAGATAAAAAGATGTTTTGGAAGAATTTTTTGATTTGACATTATTGCATGATTAAAAACTCCCAGAGTCAAATTGACCCACGGACATCATTGCTCTCCGTGAATGATGTGAACATAACATAAACAAACACTATGATGTCCATTGGGTGTTAATATGCAAATCCCAGTTGCTGTTTATAGCTGATAAGAAAAAATAACCTTAATGGAAGCCACAAATCCCTAACGTCCGGAATAATAATATGCTTGCGAAAAGCATGTGACATCCTGCTGTTACTCAGTAATTTTTACTGCAATTAGTATAGGAACACAAGTAAAGATGCAAAGAAGGCAAAAATAGAAATGAAAGGCCCTTCCCTTTAAATCTGTTTAAATTTTTGATGAACACCACATGTAAATGACTCAATATGCATAAAAGACCCCCTGCAAAGCGAAACAGTAGATACCCTAAGGCATCACTGGTAAAACTAATTATCTGCGTGTAAGCAACACTGTCTTGTAATTGAGGTGGGTCCCTTCTTAATTATTTCACATAGGGTTAGATGGCTCATTCTGGAGGGCTTCCTCTGGTGGGTCATCACATAAATGTTTATAGTTCAATAAGGTGGAGAGAAAACATAACAAATGTCACATTTTATAGGTCAAGGTGACTAGGTCATTAAAGCAAAGACATTAGGAGTGGCTAGGAAAATATTCCTGGTTAAGCTTTTGAATCTCTAATCTGTAGAACAGTTTATACAAAGAGCTTTTGTAAAAAAAAAATAATATATATATATATATATATTATATATATCTATATATATATATATATATATATAGATATATATATAGATATATATATATATATATACTTAAATCAGATGAAAAAGTCTGTCACACTAATGAATGACGTGTTTCAGTTGTGTTCCAGGAAATTACAGAAACATCTAACAACAAAAATCGTATCATCACATGAACTTTTGGTCGTGAAAACTTCTTCCTACTGCATGTCTAATTTTTTTAAAATCTAACAACATTGTGATAAGTCAGATTTAGGTGTGTTTTTCCTTTTATTGGTTCTGTTTTACTGCTGATTCTGCAGTCTCCCCAAAGCATTGAATGACATTCAATCTAAAGAAAGTCCTCCGTGTCACAGAAAACATTGTGAACAGCAAAGCAGCTGGGCGAGGCGTAGATGTAAATATACAGGAAGTATATTTACATCTATGGCGATTAAAGATTAAATAGAGTGTGATGCTCATTGTATTACATAACATGAAGCCATTGTCCTTTTTTTTTTAATTAAGACCTGAGATGCGTCATCTCTCCAGTAGGTGGTAGTAGAGTGCAGGTGAACGACCTCTGCTTTTGTTATAGCGGAGTGCCAGAGGTCCTCGCGCTCTATTTATCATGTCAGGTTCACATGCGCTGAACCGTCGGCTTTAAATGCAATGTGAAAGCGCCTGGTGCATTTTATTTTACGTCTGCACACTTTAGGTCGAAGCTTAACAAATGTTACAAATTTATTTATTTATTTATTTATTTATTTATTTATTTATTTATTTATTTATTTATTTATTTATTCATTCATTCATTCATTCAATAAATAAACAATCTGCTACAGTCTGTTGTTGTCATTATTGTTCCTTAACATCCAGCAAGGATGTGTATGTGGATAGTGATGTCACTTTAATTTTGTATTTTTAATTTTTATTACTATTATTATTATTAGGGTATTTATTTATTTTATTTTATTATTTTTTTTAACATGCTCATCCTCATTATTTCCACCGTTTGCCTATGTAAATACGAGCCCGCAGCAGCAACGCGGGCCCTTTTATTCGCAGTGGGCTCTCCGAGATGAAGAAATCACGCTGTTTCTGCAGCAAGCGTTGAGAGCGAAACATTCAGCAGTCGGCTCTTTTGTTCCGAGAGCAGATACAGATTCAGTGTGTGTGTGTGTGTGTGTGTTTCAGAGAGAGAGAGGGGGGGGAAAGAGAGAGAGAGGGAAAGCATGCAGAAAGAGAAACACACACAGCCAGCACAGAGGCAGCGTGTAGGATACAGCAGAGTGTGTGAGGAGGAAACAGGCTGTGGGATGCTGACAGACTCTTCATAGATGCTTAAAATGGCGAGAGCGTCTTGGATCCCAGTGAGCCACTGAGCAGCAGATTGGTTGATTGGAATATCTCGCAGCCGCGTCTGGATGTTTGATTTGCGTTTTGATTTTGTTTTTGTTTTGCAAACCCGCTGCTTCGCCAACATTCAGCGCTGTGTATTTTCACGAGTGCCGGAGTATTTCTCTGTGTTTAAATGGCATCCACACGGCGCCAGTGCCCTGTTTCGTGCTCTTTGGGAATCCTTCTAAATGCTTTCATCGGTAAGACACACACACCGCATTGGAACAGGGTGTTTTTGGTCGGATGTAATCACCTTTTTGCTACCAGCGTAATGCACGCTGGAAGCTGTGAGAAGCGTGTTTTGCACGCAGTGTAACCCTGAACTTGACTGCTGTCCTGTTGTACACAATCTGAACATTTCCGTATAAATCTCAGAGCTGAAGCCTGATTTGCTTGACTGTTTTTTGTTTGTTTTACCAGCTTTGTGAATTTTGCAGAACTTGTCATGCTAATTTCTTTGAAATTATTGAAATTGAGACTATTAATGCATTCAGCTCCTTGTTTTGGTGGAAAAACTGACTGATGCATGCTTGAGTTTCGAACATGTGCTTCTATGTTATATTTATTTATGCCTTAGTTGCCGATTCTCCAAAATCAGTGCAACAAGAAATATCACTTATGGCACATTTGTCTCTCCTTAAAACTTCAAAGCTGTGATTTCTGAGCAGGGTTTTGTTTCATATCAGGGGACTTCAAAAGTAGATGGATTTATTGACCGGTCAGTCATTAGAGCACACCACCCTGTGGCTGGGTGAAATGACAGTGGTTATTGCTCAGAGAACAGATTAAAAGACTGCGGTTATTGCCTGCTGGGGAGAATATTTGTACAGATTAAATGTCAAGGCTGTCTCTCTACTCCCTTTCAAATTTTCTCCTCCATCCCTTTGTTCGCTATGACAGTCACTTTCTCTCTCTATGTGGGGGCCCCTAATTCAAAAGGCTGGAGAGTGTATTGAGTATTTGCAAAGCATACCACACAGGGACCCACAAAGGGCCCCGCTGGAATCATAGAGGCTACTGGTTCATAACATGTTCGCTCGCTCCGAGGACTGGGAACAAAAACTGTCAGAAACACACACTCGGCTCTGTGATGGATGCATCTCCAATCTGCTCAGCGCGTTGAAGAAATGAAGCTCTTTCAAGTGCTCGTCTGCTGCAGAGAGTAGATTAGGCTGAGATAAAGGAGGTTTTATGGCATTTTAAGCAGTGTTGATAAGGGAGAAAGAAGCATTATCATTTATATCTTCCTTCCATCTGCTTGGGATAAAACGTCGGAACAAAAAGGCAGAAAATCATTAAAATGATCTCATGATGAAAAGTTTCAGTCAGTGACTGCTTACTTATGGAAGTGTTTTAGAAATTGCTGTTGTAATAATTTCTCATGACTCACCGAAGCTCATAATTGTTTCATCTTCCTTCCATCTTCCTAAAAGCATGTTAATCCTGAAATTAAGGCTGGACAGAAGATTTAAATGTATTGATATTGTTTAATTAAGATAATAATGATGATATTTACTCTTCACTCCTCATTGTTTTTCTGACATCCCCGTGTATCAATTACTCTCCCTGCTAACGGGGTTCCCAAGTAATGTTTTCCAAGTGTAAGTCTTTCAAGTATTTATAATCCTTACTGCTGCATCTTTTAGTTGACTATTGTTCAAGTGTTAGACTGACTCTGCTGAGAGCAGGGAGATGAGAGCCCATGCAAATGTCCAAATCTGTCATTTGTATGCAAGACATAAATGATCTATATGAAGAATGTGTCCATCAATTATGCCTGAGACTAGTGTTTTGCACTTGCAATACTCCAAACACTGATGTAGCTATGATGACTGGGATTCAAAACATTGCGTAGCCATAATCAGAATCACATTTTAGGAATGTGTCATTCAATAACCCTCTGATAGCGGCATCATTAACCATCCAGAAAGCATTGTTTTTCTTTGAAATGATTCAATTTAACAGAATTGTAGAAAAAAAAAAGGAAAAGCAGAGAAACCATCATCTGGCCTGCAACAGATCAAATCATCACTGTCATTGCTATATCCGTGTTGCTGTCAAAGAACTGCTTAAAAGTGCTATTTGGTAGGACAATATATTGAATGAATGCAAATTTAGTATGCCAGTATATAGGTAGGAAATAAGTGATTCTTTAGTACTGATGGACTGCTCATACAAATCCATGCAGCTTAAACTACTGTGCAAAAAAAAAAAAAAAACATGAAAAGGAACATCAATTAGTCAAACACACCACAAAAATACCATGATATATGTTAAATAGTTGTACAATCTTAAATCTTCAAAAGGTAAAAACATCTATCCTACAACTAAGAGTAAATAAAAGGCAACACAGTTACAAACAGATTATAATGTTCTCTGTCTTCCTAGTTCAACTGTCTAGGATAACGTTGAATAAGCTGAAACCTTAAAATAGATACTAGGAGCATTAAAATAATCTAGACAGTTGGAGACGACAGCAAGAATACATTTTTTTCTGTATTTGTTTGGAACCAAAATTATCTAATTTTTTAATTGTAAAGTCATATGTAAATATAAAGTAACCTCAAGTGACCTTAACTGCTTGAAAATTGGAGTCATCTAAAAGCTGTGACTGGGGCATTAGTTTATAACTGTTAGATTTCTTGCTGTTATATAACCGACTCTGCAGAGCATAAATGGTTGGGAAGTAAACAGTGAAGCAGCTGCCCTACTTTATCTCCAGATCATTAACTTTATTCCTCCGCACCCCCATGTTGCATTATGATATTAAATTATCTTTGGAACAATCATCTCTGAGTATCTACCAGAATAACAGAGTCACAGTGAGAACAATTTAAATAGCATGTGGCTTCAGATGGGAAGAACATCAGAGTATTGATTAATTATTTATCAAGCGGGAGCCAATACTGAGAATGTAAGTATCAATATAACATGTATAGCTCCCCTGCAGAAAAAAGTATAAACACAGCCCTTTAGCCATAAATGATTGACTTTGTATAGAAGAAATTGAGTTGTTATGTGGCTCATTTTATTAGCTTCTTTAAAGCTGAATGTTATTTGTGGTTTGATTCATGAACTTGAACCTAAATCAGAAGTCCTACCGAAGACAGAAATGCTGATTTAACTTTAGTAGAGGTGGTATTTTTCTTATTTTAATAGCAACAATAATTCTGTGTTTCTTCTTTAATGCAATTAAGAGCAGTTTATAGATGAAAATTCACAAAGAAAAGAAACAAAATTACATCTCTACAGATCCCCCCTATTTTACTTATTTTTTTATTTAAAAAATAGCTGTAATGACTTTGCAGTATTTGTTCTCATATGGGTCAAAGACAAAGAATGACTCAGTCTCAATGAGTTTATTAGTTAGAAAACTACACAAATCATGCATTGTTTTGAACATAAATTACATCCATTTCTAATTTTGTTCAACCCACTCCTCCAAACATTACATAAAGATCCACCTGGTCTCCAAAACCCAAATTATGCAAACCTATCCTGCCTAAACAAAGACATAAAGAGCAAAAATTGATTTTTAGCATCTTGATTGATTTAATTAATTCTAACCCCTTTCCATCCACATTTAGTTTTAGTGTAATTTAATAAAAATGTTGATATTAACATCAACATTTTAAAAATCAACATTTTTATTGATTTTAATTTTCAAACTGTTAAAGAAAAAAACAAACCAAGATATCCAAAGTTAATGCCCGATCCATATGCTGCTTTCATTTCATGTTTTTACATTAACAGATAAATATGTGCCGATTTTTCAGTCTTTTGGAAAACCCTCAAACTTTAAAAGAGATTTCAAATTAAAGGAGGATTGAATGAACACAATTCTATACATCTTACCTCTAAGTTCAAAGCGTGGTATAAATATCTCAAAGCTTTATTGTTGCTTGCATCAGGTGGTAAGGTATCCTGACACTGCATCCTGTCAGAAACCTGTGGAGTATTTTGATCTCTCAGTTCGGCTCCCTGTCTGATAACTTCACATGCTTGTAAATTCATGTCTTTCTTCCTCTGAGTGTAGCTTTAAATCTATGTGTCAAATCTCAACACTTATTTCTCCGTAGTAGTTGGTAGGCTCCACCCTGAAACATACCGAGTCGATCTTTCTCTCATGTGTTTTTGTCTGGTAATCTGACATTTCTGCATTAAATAAAATGTATTGTATATGTATTGATATATTTGTCCTTATGTACCAAGAATGCAGCTTCAAACTTGCATCTCTACAGCTGTGCACTAGATCTCCGTCTGCACACTCCCCCCTTCTCACAATCCCTGGATGCGCATGATGCACAGATGACCGTAACCTTTTTATTGTTTCCTTATCTCACTGGATCTGGGTTATAATTAGCTGTTGTGCTCAGAAATATTTTCTCTGACATTTTCTCCCACTGCTGTTTGTGACCTTCAAGCCACCCTGAGCTCATATTTGCATTAGTCGGTCACTCGGGCAACATGCTTTATTCATCAGGAAAGACAGTGTAGTCACATTTCCCCCGTTAATGGAATATACTCAGAGTTGAGTTGAAAAGAAAATCATTAAAAGCCTTTTATGTGCTTCTAATGAATGGCATGGTTAAACAGCAACATTGTTTTTCTCTTTGCTGCTGTAACATCATCTGCTGTCTGTCTTTTAATTTATTGCTATCAAAGAAACACCAAGAACTACATTGTATCTGGAAGTGTTCTGCATCGGTAACAGTCCTCATCGCTTGGGAAAAACAATTTGCCACATGTGCGGCTTCTGTTTGTAATTGCCTGACAGCCTTCTTTGCTTTCTGGACCTCTGAGTCCAGAATCAGGCCAACCAAGGGTTAAATACTTCTCTAACAACACCCCCTTGTTGCTCACTGATGTCTCTGTAGTCTCATGGCCATTTTACTTACCGTGCTCTCTGAGTGGAAAAAAGAGGGAAGGAAAGGACCACATCTAGAAAGGACACAGAGCAATCATGAGGGAAGTTTTTTTTCTCTCTCTCTTAGCAATATTTCTGACATGTGCTCTTCACAGTGGGGCGTGTCAGTGAAAAGGTTGCCTGCTCCTGAGGGGAAGCACTTTTCTTTTGGAATGTTAGTGGATCTGGCCGGAGGTTCTCTATTTTGACCCCGGTGCCTAGCCCCCCCTTCCTCTGCCCTCCCGTAGCCCGTCCCACCAGATTCCAGGGCCTGGGGCAGAGCCTGACGGTACTTAGTCCATCAGTAGCTGAAACATGATGCCAAGACGGCCTACTGAGCTGCGTTTTTACAGAACTGAGTCATGCCATGCTGTTTACATCCACAAATACGCAAAAACATGTCCCTCATGTTATTATGGACTTAAATTGTCATTGCAATTAAATGTACAAGACTGGGAAGTTGCAATGAGGGTGGCACCTTGTGTTAGCAGCAAGCAGTGTGCGAGCAGCAGTTTGTGCAGTTCAAAGTTGATGGGAGAGTTCAGGAACATGGTGCAGAGCGATAAGGATTAGATGCTGGCAATGTGTGCAAAAATAGCATAAAGCATTTCAAAGAAGAATCACAAGCTTTTAGCACGATTTATCTGGCAAATTCTAACTTTTAAAGAAAAGCTTATATGTGAGCATTTAGAACAATAAACATCTCTCAATATATTTGAATATGATTTTGTCAACCTTTGTCAAACACTGTTAAAATGTATTAAATTTTGTTGATAAACTTTAGACTTGGGGTACAATATAATTTCAATATAAACAATATAAACTCAGAAAATCAATTTTCAAAGGTAAATGACAGTACTACTCTGGTTAAGTGCCCTGTTGCTCAGTGGCGGCAACAAGTGGAGGCAACATTCCTACCTTAGCCAGACAATATTTTATCCAGTCATTATCAACACCTGCTTGTCTGTCACGGGGGGATAGTGCTCATCTCCAGAGGTCATTGGATAGAAGGCGGGGTACACCATGGACAGGACGTCAGTCCATCTCAGCGCTACCCACACACACAGGACCGACAGCCATGCACACACACTCTAACATATAAGGACAATATAGAAAGAGCAATTATGTTAACGGTCCCACACATGAATATCGAGAACATGCAAACTCCATGTAGAAAGACCCCAGCTCAGATTTGAACCCCAGACCTTGTTGCTAACATCTGCACCACCCAATATTTTGCACCACAAAAATATTTCATATGTAATTTTATTTCATTAAGCTTCAGAGTATATGAAGAACTTTCACTTCCGTCATGTCATGTTTTGTATGGCTTATTTTTTGTGACCTTACATGGATGATATTTTCAGCAGTAGTCTTGTGACTTCATATCATCCTGATATCATGCTAGTGGAAAGAACTCTGGAAAATCAGAAAACGCTGCATGACATAAAACTGAAATTATATGATACAAAAATATCAGTTATGTTACTGTTAGTTTGTGGCTATATTTTGCAAAAATGTTGTTTGATTATTGCAGTTTCTTTGTCAATTGTTTGTATTCAGGTCATACAGTACATTTACAGCACTTGTTTTTGCGTGTCCATGTCTCTTCAGGTGCAGTTTTGGGAGCTGAACTCTCTTTCAAGCTGGAGCCCAGCGACATCACTGCTGTTCAGGAGCAGCCGCTGATGCTCCACTGCCAGGTGGACGGCATACCACCCATCACCACGCAGTGGAGGCGCAATGGCCTGCTCCTGGCTCAGGACCGCCATCATACCACCTTCATCAACGGCTCACTTTTGATCGTCCACTTCCAAAAGACCAAGCCTGACGGCTCGTCTGATGAAGGCGACTATGAGTGCATGGCCCAGAACTCTTTTGGGCGAGTGGTGAGCCGGAAGGCCCGAATTCAGGCAGCCAGTAAGTAGCTTTGTCTGTGTGAGAGTGTGTGTTTTGTGTGGCTTATTTTGTTCATTTGTGGAAACAGCTAAATGCCATGCCATCGCCTTTCTGTACAGTTCCGCTAAAAAAATAGAAGTTGTCTCAAGTATCGTCACGTTAGACCAGTCCCAGTTAACTTGAGTACTGCTGTGCACGTAAATTTTTTTTTTATATGTGTAGCTGTGTAATTGTTAATATAAATCATTGCGTTTAATGAACTTTCTGATGCTGGTGCTGCTTTGAAATGCAAGCCTCTGACTGAAGCATTAACAAGAACTCACGCTGAGGCTCTCCAGACTGCTTTGGAAGAGCAAAATAAGCTGGAGCAACTTAGCAACCCACTCACTGGTACAGGCATCAAGATGCATTTTCACCAACCTAACAACCAAAGTCCTTATTAGAAAATATTCAAGATCCTCATTAAGTTCAAAGCTTTTGTTGCCATGGTTCGTCTTTACCTCATTTCTGTGAGGTCATTGTAAGACAATCTGACGCTCGGTCCGCCTGGTTTGTCTGTCATATCGCAGCATGAAGTTCTCATCCCACTTGAAATCAAAGGCATTAGGGATCCACAAGCCACAGCAGCTTAAAGTGATAATGCAGTCTTCCATACTGTGCCAAGTTAAGGCTGTGTTCTCTGAGACAAAAATGGATAAAAGCTCACAGAAGCCTGTTGATTCCTAGACCATGTGTAGACAGAATGCTGCTGTGCCACTGTGGCCAAATCAGCTTTCCAGCTTTGTGGGGTACAGAGGTTAGCATGGATGTCTCTAACAGAGAGGGAAAAGTCACTTTACCACAACGGTCGGTTCCTGCCAAACAATGTGTAACCTTTAAGACATACATTTTGAAGTCTTTTTTTTTCTTTTAAAAAGAAAGAAAAAGTATATTAGGCAACATGAGTCAGATCAATTGGTTGTAGAAAACATGCAGTACGTTTTGTGCGTCAGCAAGTTACAGGCAATGGTTATGCTTTTTAAATAGTAAAGTAAAATTATGCCCTGCTTCAGTTGTACAAAAAGAAAATCTCAAAAGAAATTAATCTTTCATTGCTGTGATGTTACTAATCAAGAATAGAGCGAGGAGGGATTTTTCTAAAATTACAGTTTCATAATACTAATTAATTGTAGTCAAGTTATTTATTTTTTTATTGTGAGGAAATGTAATATTACTTGTGTTTTACGCATCCTTACCAGTGGTACTAAAATGTGTTTCCCATGATGGAATTAGATCTTCACCAATTTTGCTAGTAGTTGAAAAATGGACTAAAACATGATAATAAAGTAGAGATTTTCTGATGCAGTCACCCAGTGAGACATCAACGTCCTCGGCCAGTGATTGAGTTTTATGTCAATGGTGTGATAATCAGACATTATTTTAAGGTGTTGTAATTTATCTTGAAATTGCAGCACATGTTTAATCTTTAAAAGTAATATAAAAAAAAGGTTGTTTTTTTATAATTAAATGGTTGGAGGTGTTAATTAAGTGCTGGATAGAGTAATAATCTCTCTCCAGGAAAAAATTTCAACATCTTCGAATTCATGTTGATTTCTTCTTTTATAGTTTTTGTTATTTTTTCTTTCTTTTTTTGTCTTTGACTTGTATTGTTTGGTGGAGGATTAGTGGAACTCACATTCTGACTATTCACCCCTGATATTTTGGACTGATACCCGTTCTTGAGTCAAAGCATAGAATGACCAAATTGTTTACCTATAGTTTAACCAATCACAAGCCAGAATTTTATATTCGTCTTCCAGTAATTCACTCTTCTGTCTCTAAGTTGTGATGCTTTACAAACCCCTTTAGGTTCTTATAGCTGTCTCTGGATTCCTTATGGAGCTTAATTGTAAAGCTCATCTATAATAAGCAGAGACAACATTGCTGCAGAGTTTTCACTGATTGTCTTTTTCCTTCGACTCTTTGCTTTAAAAAAAATGCAATTTTGCTCATCCCTCGGTGCTCAACTGCTCCTCACTCTGTTTCATACTTGCACCTGTTCTGATTTGTATTTATGTAACCAAGTTGATCATGCTCAAATGTGCTGGATTGTAAAATTGCAGGTCCTTGTTTTAGAATGTTGCATGAGCTTTGTGTTGTTTTTTTCTTCCTTATTTTAAAATGAAAAAAGAAATATGTTTGACAAGTGTTTCTTCTGAAAGACAAGCATGCTTTAATGTATTTGGTCTTGTCTTTTTGAGGGCTATTTGCTGTGTTTTACTTCCTCCCAGAACAAAGCTCTGACTTGTATCACGGTGATGCGGTGTGTGGTGCAATTTACCAAAGCCCCTATAAAGCACACCCAGTGAATAAAGCCTCCGTCGGACCCTTCACACCATCACCCGCTTTAAATTTCACTTTTCATTTGCTTGACAACCATTTGTGGAGGTTCACTGTTGGTGGCTGGTGTTGGACAGACTCCCTGCTGCCCATATAAATCAGTAGTCGGTCTGAGAAACTCTTTTTTTTTTTTTTGTCCATTCAAAGGTTATCTCTTTTATGGCGGATTCCTCTTGCTGTGTGTTTCCCCCCCATCTTCCTCACTTCCTCTATTACTTCCTCCTTAACTCGGCTTCAGGAAGCTCTTTATCATTCACATGAATGACAAGGCCCATACAGAGGACCCGGCCGATGTCCCTCCCTCCCCCATAGCAAAAACTACGTCACCAGGCAACGCAACATGACAGCTTACCGTAGCAGAAGAAAAGCATCACTTAGCTAGATGTCTTATTTTTTTGTAGACATTTTACTGAATCCATAGTGTCAACATTTTTTAATTAGACACATTGCATTGAGATAATGAAGGTGGTTTCATCAACGTGGCTTTTATGGATTAAATAAAGACCCTGCAAGCCATGGAGATTGAAATAAGTGACCAATAAGTATCGTATTTGAGTCGGGTAAGGTGTACCTTTTAATAGAGGGTGCTTCCAGGCCCGATAGCACTCAAGGACGTCACATCTGACTTCTTAAAGCTCTTTGAATGGTTTATCCTGAGTAGAAAGTGAGAGTGATTTGTGTGGCACTGATGTCAGATTACGTGGCAGGACTTGTTTTGTGGTGAGCTCCATCTATCTCTCTCTGACCGCTTTCACAGTATCCTGCCTCGAAGATTACTGGAACAACATCCCTGCCATCTCCTTTTATCTCTCTTTTTCTCCCAGCCTGTTGAAGTCTACCCTCAATCTGATAACCTCAACCCCCTGTTTACTACCTTTGCTGCTCACAAAGAAGCAAATTTTCTCTCCTGTCATATTAATTAACCAAATATAGTAATGACATCTGAAAATGAATGGCTGTTTTCTTGAATGTAATGTGTTTTTCTTCTTTATTCTCACATGGTTTGGATTATGCTTAGGCATGCATGAAGTAATGCCTGCAATATATTGTTTTTGTTTTTTTTTTTTAAGCAGAAGTCTTTCAATTTTTCTACAGTTAAAAATACCATCTTTGTTTCATTTTCCTTTCTCTCATCTCTCCTCTCATTGGTATTCCTGTCATGTAAGCATCACAGGATCTCCGTCCTCATGGACACGGTTTATGGTTGCCCTGTACCTCGCATGGGTCTGGTATGCGTGCTGATTTTGACTCACAATGGTCCGCCATGATGAAGTCAGTGCTCCATCAGCCTGTCTGTGACTCAGATGGATTTATGAAAGCTTTTTCTTTAATGGATATTTTTTGTTTTGTACCATGGGGCAGAGCATGAAAGCTCTTCTGTAGAAGAAGTCACAAAATGCTGCCACCAAATGCACAAAGATGTTTTTATTGCTTTTTGTGAAATGCTAAAAAAAGCTTGGTAAATGAAGGTGCCGTCTACAGCAGTCCACCCCAAACTAATGTATGGATGACTGATAATAATGACACACAGGATCGTGACCAACTCAATTTTATTTAGCTTAGTTTCTTTTTTTTAATCTTTGGTGTGTTGTAGAACAGATTGAAGGAAAACAAAGGCAGGTAAATTGAGAGGTAGTGAAAATATGACTTTGGGATGGTCACTTGTAGTAAGTCCTTTCTATATTTTAATCCTTGATATCTGGCATGGACTCTGCTTTCTACGCTGCAGCTCATTTAAATTGAATAATTTCAGCTTTTCACTGTCCTTCATTTTGTTTATCAGTATCTTGTTGTCTTGGTTTTAAGTGATAGGAGGATGGAGTGTGACAAGAATAGGACATAAGACACTTTGTCTGTAGTAATGTGGACACTGAGCCAGTGAAGGAATTACTAGGATAAATGACAAAGCTCTCAATAAGCCATTCTATGTATCCTCTATGTGTCTGCTCCACGTTGAGAGAAGTTACTGGAACATATGATCACGGTAATGCCTGTGGATGCATCTCTAGAGATTTTCTTTAGTCATATCCACTTACAAAATAGGATACAAAAGCCGACTTGGACTCACTGAGTGGACTACACATTGCCACTTGTCTAAAAATGTGTTGCACTACATCATAATAAACTTTACAGGGCTACCTTTAAAGAGGACAGTCTAGACTTGTGTCCTGGACTTGTTGCCTTGCAAAAAAACCCAAAAGACAATGGATGGGTTGATTGGTGGTTGGATGGACAAGTGGATGGATGGGATAAAGGACTGAAATCCTCCATTTCTGCACTTAGCTAACAACTAACCCAGGTTGTTGCGTCTTTACCATAGCAATGCTGAGCCATGTTCCAGAAAATGAGGCATATACCAAGCAGTTATTTCATTGTATTCTCCATAACGGCTTATTTTCAGGCTAAACTTTTTAATTTGAAGACTACGGTTTTGAATGGTATCAAGTTTAGAGCAATGGAAATTCTATTTTCTGTAAGGATACATTTTGTCCTCTGGGGGTTATTTCATTGTCAAGAAGCTGAGTAAAGTGCTGCTCTGAACCCTTTGTGACAGTTCTTGATATTTTCATTGACGGATGCTCAAAGTTGTCTAACTCTCCTGTGGGAAAGAAGCTCTGTGAATCTCAATTATTCTTGAGGAT